CCCCCATATTTCTCTACACAAAGCAGCACTGGAAAATTCCATAGTGCTCCTATGGAAAACGCAGCGTAATTAACTCATTTTGATACGAAGCCTTTTTAAGACGAGACCTTTGTGTTGAACATATTTTACTGTTCCACTCCTCTTCTACTGTTCTATATTAATCAAAGCTGTAACCCCTGTTGTCTTTGCACTACGAATCAGAATGTGCCCCTGGCGAAGAATGAGGGAAAAGTCAACAGGAATTAAGTTTCAGTGCAACTGTTTACTCAACTGTGGCCTGCAGTTATTGAAATTTTATCCGTGGTTTTGTGTGACTACTGCAGTAATGAATTCAGCATGGCTGTGATTTTCTCACTGATGGTATTCTCACTTCAAGTAAAAACCTGTAGGATGAAAATGATTGAAACAACCAAAGTGTATGCATTTAGTACCATCCATTTTTCTGACTTGTTTAATTATGGCAGCTTTCTGTCTTGTGTTGGCAAACGGGGTCCCCTGCCCCTCCGCAAGCCTTCGGTTTGCTTTGTTTTTTGAGTGCAGGTTTTTTGTTCTCCGCAACAACCTGCTGAAAAGATCACTGTACACTTAGGGGAGTCTTAACCAGCTGCCAATCGCTTATTTTAAAGGTTTTAAGAATGCTTATTGCATTAGAGAAAGTGCGGGTTAGGCGTAAGTGTATTCACCATGGCTCTACGGCAGCCTTTGTTCCCAAACACGTTAATGATACATGCCCAGCACTTCGGTGTAAAATTTCCTCAAAGTGTTTCAAAATTTTATCAGGGAAAAGAAAAAGACGAACCGTATTACATGGATAATTTACACTGGTGAACTTGGTCACTTCCCAGAAAATACACTAATTAAAATACAAAGGCAAAATGCACAACTGAGTCCCGATTCTTCTGAATTGAGGGTACTGACCCGGGATGTATTTATTTATTTATTCTGACGTTTTGCCACAGCAGATACCTCCGCAGCCTTCCTCACTAATAGAAAACATTCTGTTGATAGAGGTTGCTAGGTGATATTAAAATTTGTTGCAAAAACAAAACTTAACTTTAGTGTATTTTCCACCCAGTGACGTATTTTGGAAACCAGTTACTTGTATACAGCGGTTCACCCAATCGCTGCCACCAGACTCAACACATTCAGGCAATGGAAGCAAGCCCTGATCTTTGGGTATTTCCAGGGAATGATTAAAAAAGAGCCCCGGAAGAAAAGTCAAACGTTTCCCTTTACATTAATGACTGCAATCCCCGACGGATAGAAAAATGTACAGAATGTCGTAGGCAAGTCCTAAAAGCATCCTCTGACTGGCAAATACAAAGGGTTTGGGGGGGGAGGTTTTAAATGCTTCGTGCTTTTTCTGTAAGTAGGAAACTTGTAATACGTCTTACAGTACCTGCTGTTGTTGAAGATGTGCTAAATCTGCAGCCCCAATTTCAACGGAAGGTGTCTCGCCGTTTGATCTCACTTCCCGCAGGCTGCACTCTAGTAAATGGTTGCCACCGCTCGCTCCATTCTGAATGGCTGAACCGTTACTTTTTGTCTCAGTCCCAGATTCTTGCATCATGACTCAAAAACCTAAAATAATTTAGGGGGGGGGGAAAAAAAAAAAGCAGCTGTTAAAACAGTTGCTGTATATAAGGAGACATGCCCTGTTTTAAATCCTGCCAAAACTGTAAACATTTGTCATTTCCCTTCATACGATTTATCTTTCATTAATGGTTCATGCTACTAGTTTATGTTTATTTATCTGTTGGTACAGCTATAATTTTAGGAAGTTAGTTCTGTTCTAAATATAGTATTATTTGCTTAACGTCTTTTTTCCCTTAGAGAAAAAAAACCCTATTTTTTAACAAACACACAGAATCCATAATTAAATTTCTCTAGTTGCATCTGGATGCTTTCCTTTGAAACGGGTGAGTCATTCTTTGCAACATACGATGGACAACATCAACAACTTGATATACACTGTGTAGGGGCAGGTAGGTGAGGCAGAGCGTTCGCTATTTCGGTTTCCATTCACGCCATGGTAGTGCTGAATTAGCACCTTTTATTACTCTGAAGCAGTTTAGGCGAAGTCTGGGATGTGCTGGACACCATCAGTTTTCGTTTGGGGCAAGCTGCTTCAACTGCGCACAGAATTAGTCTTTTTGGCAAATTTCTTGGCTATGGGTTTGGTCTGGCTTTGGATGCACTGTGGCATTACAGCGAAGAACCTCCTGCGTTATTTGGCTAAACATCATCTTAGCAGCCACAGCTATTCACAGCCAGCCCTCTCGACTCTTGGTGGATGTCTGTCCCCGGGTGCTTTACAACGTTGCGCTCATCAGTTGTATCGGTGGGTCACAGGCCCCACAACGAGGATGAGTCCCTGCCTGCCTACCCCAGAACTCCTGGGATTCACACGTCTTTGGGAACTAACTGCCAGCATTTGTACACAAGACCCCCCCAAAACAAAGCACGTATGCCAGTTTTCAGCTGCAAACCGCTACCTTTGAGCTATTTTGATGAGTTGTTTTATAGGTATTTCCACCTGCAAGGCCCCAAGTTCCAGGATTTCAATGTTATTGACCTGCTCTGCTTCCGCCAGCCCATCCCTCCCTCCCTTCGTGCTCCTCCTCTCACCCTTACCGGGGGGAGACGGGGTACGGTAAGCCAAGCTGCACACTCCGAGCACATTGCCCACTCCACGCTAACTCACCACGTGCACATGTGAGCCAAATGCCTCTGTGCAGGGTAGTTCACACCTTGAAAGTAAGACGCTTTATATTTAAGGAAGAACCTGTTTGAATTCAGTAACTACCCCGAATCAAAAGGAAGAAGAAAAATCCCTTCCCTTCGAATATATAAGGGAAAATATCAATCAGAAAGGGTGAGAGAAAGCAATGCATTTCAATGGAAAAGTACCAGGGGAAAACCCCTTTCCCTGGGAACTCCACACGTGCGTAATTCGGAGCCCCCGGCCGCCAAAGGCACAGTACCAGCTGGAGACAGAAATTCCTCCTTCCAGCACCGGCCCCCCGGGTGTCTGCTGGCCCTAGGTGACATTCAGTATCAGACCCCACGCGTAGAGGTATGCTCCAGCCCAACACACCAATACCAGACCTCTCATCCATTTGGTAGCTTCAGACGTTCATAATGATGATCCATACGGCCAATAATCAAAATGTCATAACTGAGAAGCAGCTGACTAACGAGGGCTTTGTCACCACCACGCTCCGGCGTTAGCACTCCTCGCTGATTCACGTCCAACACGGGTGAACCACTCATTAGCCGGACCCCGCTCCAATCATGACGGGATCTATTCACGCTGACGGCCGCCCAAGCATACGGACGGTGCTAGGACAGATTCAAGTGTTCTGATTACATTTAAATAAATTTCAGCTGGTCTATGGAAACTTCTTTCAGTCTGTTTTGTGAGATCTTCGAATTATGCAAGGGGACAAAAGGGCTTGGGGGCTCATTATAAAGCTTCTGTCAACTCCCTTGTAAAAGCTCCAGAGATCTAAACTAACCTACAGCTCTCCCAATGCCACTAGCAAATGCTTTTGGGTTTTAACATGATCCTGCTCTGACACAGACTGAGCAGGGTGTGTTTTTCATTTTCGGCACTATAAGGAAAGCCCACAAGCATGACAAGGTCTAAATAAGCGTTTACACCTAACACACAAGCCTGGATTACACACCGGGCAGTGACTGCATGGCACAGGTTGCTTTGGAAGAAGAGGCAGGAGCGAGAGTCTCCAGACAGCTCACAAGTTACTCAAAGCTATACCATGCCATTTTTATATGCTACGCTATTAAAAAGGACACACCTCTTAACCAGAGATAAATCAAAAAGAAAGAACTGATGTATGCAATTGTTTTCTGCTTCCATCCAAATTTGGGGTCAAGCCTCAACTGGAGAAAATAGAGCATGACATTAATTTACCTCAGCAGAAGATCTGGACAAGGATGACCACCACGTAAGACTGAGTTAGCAGGTTGAACCCAGAGACTCATGTCTTTGACTGTTGTGATGCTCAATGGCAAATGGTGGGTGGCACGTCACCACCACGTAGACCACACCCGACGGATGACGAACATATTAAAAGAACTAGTGGAAGGTGCCTCCAGCAGATACCATGTGAAAAGAGATGCTAAAACCAATGTGCCCAAGCAGTAAAGAACTACATTTCATTCTCCAACACTTCTGATGCAACAAATTGACTGGAAGCAAGAACCCGGATAAACTGCTAAGGAGGGTCAGAGAAAGCACCGACCAAAGCTCCGAGATGCCTCTGACAGCAGCAAGAAGAATGTGCACCACTGAGGAGCAGATCTATCACTGCCTGATCACGATTTGTTGGCTTGCCCTTCTGAGCGAAATATCTCCAGGACACAGAAAATAATTCACAACCAAACTGGTCAAGAAATTATTTATTGTCTCTAGGATTGCAAAACGCTCCTGGAAAGAAACAACAGCAGAAATTGCTACAATTTTTCCAACCTATAGGGTTGAGAAAAAGATGGATTATTTATAGCATTTGGTCACAAAAAGATCATAGTTCCTGAGAACCTTTTCCAAGACAAATTTCACGCTCTATTTTACCTTTCAAAGTACCCCAGCCAGTTACCACCTGAGCTGCAGAGGGCTGGCCCCGGCCCCTCCACTGGCTGTGCCCACCCTACGTATCGTATCCAGCAGGATCGGCAGCAGCTATCAAGGAAATGGAGCTGGAAACAGAGTTTACAAAGAGAACATCAAAAGAGTGAAAAGAAAATTGTGATGTTTCGACTTTCAAAAAATCAGTTTAAAAGCAGAAGTGAACATCTTTGAGTAAATTTTGCTTTAAAAACACCCATTCACAGGCAGTCAACTTCAATATAACTTCAACTGGACACCAATACAAAACAAATCCACTTTGCTAAAATACTTCCAATAGAAAACAGGATTTTCAAGGGAGAAAAGATAAAACTGTTTATTTCTTCACTGTAGTCAAATGTGAGTTGACATAAATAATCACAGTTTGGTTTGATCATTAAGCGTCACGTCATGAAAATCAACCTGCGAGAGCCTTCTGCGAGAATGATTATTATTTGTCTTTTTGAGCACACCTAAATGAGCTGAGGTGATAGTACACCGAGGATGGCTGAGATAATTGTCTCTCCTCAGCACAGAGGAGTGGGCCTTACAGAAGCCTATTAGTGAAGTCTGTCATTCAAAACTGTGAAAGAAAAAAGCAAAGCAAGGTTGACTTCATGCAACTTGATTAGGTTCTGTGGGAACTGAAATGAAGCTTCAGGTCTACTACCACAAACTGTGATTCTGGTCTGAACGCAACCTCAAGTAACCAAAACACTGCTGAAGAAGCTGTTATGCATAAGGATTTATTATAGGAAACGCAGTTCTCCACAAAAGCTTCCATGACATACAAGATACCATGTTCTGACTTCAATTTAATGGCAAAAGAGCACGTCCATCTCATGCGTTCTGCAAAGCAGAATGACTCTCATATCAATTCTGAAAAGGAAAATGTATTTTTACAGCTTAAAATAGATGGGTTCTTACCAGTATAAGTAGCTTTTTTTTTTTTTAATAAAAATTCTACAATAGTTCATGTTAGGAAGGATAGAGAATGACTCCTAAGATTATTAAAGGTGACACAAGATGTTTTTCCCCTGTGAAGGGACCAAAGCTAAGCTGCAGTATGAACAACAACTTGTAAAATTTTATCCTGAAATCAAGGAACAGATAATGAAAGAACTGTTCTTATATGACTTAATGCTTGGTTTAAAAATCTCACAACAGTGACCAATTTCTCAAGATTCCCATCTTAACCTGCACAAAACCTTTTCTAGCTTTGATGCACAGTCAAATACAAAGCCAAAGCCATACAATTTGGCCCATCTCCTTGGTGAATATGTTACGTTCAAGGTAATGGAGTAAAATGTCAGTGGAGTGGAATCAAAGCAAGGCACTCTGTCAACAGGAGGACAACAGCTAATCATCCTCCAGATGACGTGGACAGAAGTAGGGGACAGCTCACTTCTTAAGGGCATGGTCAAATTTGAAAAAACATAGGTTGGATGTGAACTTTAGCTGAATCAAAATGATCTTTCTGAGGACTCCAGTGTCGGTGTTTTGAACTAAGAAGACAGAACCTGAAGGAATCCTAATTTTGAAAATGTTCTGGGCTCATCCATTTAAAGAAAAAAAAAAAGTCCATAACATCACAAAGACCAGATGCTGCAGATACATGTCTCTCAGCTCCACTGGACTATTTAGATGAGCAAGGTTAAGCATGGAGATTAGCAGGCAGGAGGTGGGCACTGAAGTGTGCAATTTCTGCAATTCTTTTACTAGTATAGTTTCTAAAGACTAAGCAGCATTGTTTCATGTCAGCATGAGGGAGGATTTACCGACTGAAGCACCCGTCAGAATAAGGACCCACTGCAAGTCTGAAAGACTAAGGGACTGATACTCAGATGTATTTAGATGCCTCGCCATACACGGAGGCATCTGGTGAGACATTTTTAAGACTCCTGAATAAGCACCAACCTACATCTTTAAGCACCTCATCACCTTTAAAAAACCA